AACTATAATACATTGTACACAATGGGCATTCCAGTTATTGTTTTTAATATATAAATAAATATGGATAAAGATCCAATACATAAGCAGTGGAATGTAGTAGAATCATCCTAAGCTTTAGAATTAGAGCCAAATCCTACCTTTTCTCATTCTTCCTATCAGATCTACAGTCGGTTGCTTGACACGTTTTTATTTTTTTGTAAAATGGGGATAAATATTTATAAAGATTATGAGAACTCAGCAAAGTAGTTTATTAAAACACCTACTGGATGTATACGGCACTACTTTGTTTTATTGTACGTTTCAGATATTCCTTTCCTTTTTACAAATTGAAGGTGCCTGGCAACCTTGCTTCGAGCAAGTCTAGCAGCGTTCTTTTTCTAACAACATGTGCTCGTTTGGACTCTCTGTCACATTAAGTAATTCTCACAACACTTCAGATATTTCCATAATGCTCCACATACTCAATAGAGTACCGAGTAGTGTAGACATAACTTATATACACTGGGAAATTAAAAAAAACACTTGACTTGCTTTATTGTGGCATTTGCTTAATTGCAGTGGGTTGGAACCAAACCCACAAGATCTCTGAGGTATGCCTTCTACAGTGTACCTGAGACAGTTTCAAAATATGAGGTTTTAAAAACTGACTGGGCTACAATGTCTGTCCTTTAGAATGTTCAAATAGAAGTTATTAAGTCACAAAATACTATGGAAATGTGGATGTTCAAAGCAGGGAGAAACGGAGTGTTTGAGGGGTTTGGGGTGGGGATGGAACCTGAAATAACACTTGAAGGAGAGCTAGGATTTCCGCTCTGAAAATGAGCAGGCATACCCAGCTGAAAGAGAGACCCAAGCAGAGAGGTAAAAAGGTACTGAATGTGACTGGAAACAAACATACAAACAGAACAGCAGTTGTTCTTTTGGCAGAAACGTAGATTCCTATGGTGAAGTACTGAGAGAGAGGCAAGAAAAAGCAGGGTGGGGCTATGTTCGTATGTTCTTTAATCCAGGAGGCAATGAAAAACTGCTCATGATTTAGGGGCAGGCGTATGGCATAATCGCAAGATTGCTCTGACAGCAGTGTAGGATGGCTTTGAGGGTGGAAGCATCTAAAAGTGGGCAGACCAGTTAGGGGAGGCGAATGCGGTGTTTCAGGGAAGGTGATAAAGGCCTGCGTGCACCGGGGTGAGGGCAGAGGAATCAGGCGAGACGCAGTTCAGAGAATCCAGAGCGTGTGGCCGGCGGCTCGACAGGAGAGAGGCAGAGACCCGGGTGATTGGAACCATTTACACCAATGAGTAAGGCACGGGAAGCTGTCGGGGGTACAAAATGGGATGGGGTACAATCCCTGCCCTTAAGAAAATTTCAAATGTAAGATATTAAGCCAAGCCAGCGACTATTCCGGAAGTGTTGAACGTAGGGAGAGATGACACGCGTTTGAGGACTGGAGTTAAGTGTCGGTTTTGAATACTGAAGTTCGGGTGGGCACTCTGCAGCCACTTCCCTTTTCTGGTCACTCTTTTTTTTCGGGATCGCCTCTATTTCTTTCCATCTCTCCACTAAGTAATTGAGTTCTCAATTCTTAATCTGACCCTGTGCTCGATTTAACTTCAGGCTCTAATTCCGTGTCCTTCCACTGCCTCCCATAGGATTCTGATAGCCGCCACGACCACAGGTTGCGTCTCGGGCTGTCGGACACTCCACCCCGCAGACCCCCTATCGCCTTCTCCCAGGCGGCTTCCAAGCTTGCGCCCCCACGGCTTTTCCACCAATAGGCAGGACCTAGTGCTGGAACTCGGCTCGTCATTGGTTGGCTAAGCCGTGGTGAGAGATGGTGCGGTGCCCGTTCTCAGCGCGGTGTGGGCGGTTGTTAGGGCGACCGTTCGTGACGTGCCGGCGTCAGGCCGTGCAGTCCCCAGATGATTGGCTAGGCGATCGGACGATCCTTCCGGATTGGTCGGATGCTCGTTTGGCTCCGTGTGTGCGTAAGTCGAGGGTTCCTTCCGTTCCGCGGCTCCGTTTACTCGAGACTGCCCGGAGGGCCGGCGCCGGGGTTCGGTGTCCTCTAGTGAAATCGAGAGGTGAGGCGGGCGGTGGCCGTGAAGGGGGGGTGGGAGCGGTCGGTGGGAGCGGGCTTGGGGCGCTGTGGGGAGCGGCTTACGCGTTTCTGCCGCCCCTGGGAAGTGGCTGCCGCGAGCGCCTGCCGCCCCGGCCGGAGCTGCGTTTGCGGCTTTGTCGCTGTGGCGGGGACTTCGAGAAGACGTCCTTGAGGCCCGGCCGGACGAACGCAGGCGGCAGGTCGGCCGGGGCTGTCGGTGGGCACACCGGGCCCGGGCGGCGGGCGGCGTCCCCATCCCGGCGGGGCGTTCCCTGGCCGGCGGTCCTGGCCGAGGTTGTGCAGCGCTGGCCGCGCAGTCGGGGTCCCCGGCGTCCGGACGCAGCGGGTGCCCGGCGGGGTGACCAGGGAGGCCCCCCAGGGTCGGGAAAGCGGCGCGGTGCTGGGCGGGTTCACGCCCAGGCGCTGCTGTTGCTGTTCGTCAGCACCTGGAAGCGCCGGGAAAAGCTCCGTGGAGGCTGCGAAGTCAGTCGCGCGCGAGCCCGGTTCTTTCCCCGAGCAGTGTTTGAGCGGGTCCAGAGTCGTCCGGCGGTGGGGGCTCCCTCAAAGACCCCAGTCGTTTCTCTTCCTTGTTAGGGGAGGTGTCTCTTGGCGATCACGCCCAGTAGATTTTTTTCGGCTCTGATTATAGCTAGGGAAAAGGTCTCTTGGAGGTTCAGAAGTCGAACAGTTTTGCATCTTCAGTGGTCTTGGGAAATATTTCAGATTTTGAGGGCATGTCTTCTGAGACTTGATCCAGAAAAACGTACATTTGTTTTGGGGTCGTACAAAAGACGTGCATAACCCCAGCCTCTCACAAGGCAGATGATGTATTTTCTGTTTACTTTTGAGTATATGTGCCTGCCTTTCATGATTGGGAGAGCATCTAATCAAGCCCTAGGCTGTACTTTGGGGGGTGGGGTGGGGGACGGACAGACGTGGATTCTCCACGCCTGCTTGCTTTGTGGTTTCTCACAATGTTTGATAAACTTGGCCGAGAAACAATAGGAGTTAGCCAATGAAGATAAACAAAGGACTTGCTCCTGGGTTATCCAGTTACCTCGTGAAAATGTATGTGCTCTTTTTTCTTTTGGCCTGTTTCACAATAGCCACATTATGGAATCCATCAGTGTGTCTTGGCTGAACCACATGAAATTGCTGGTGTTTAAAATGTGACCGTTTCTTTAAAAGTGGAAGTTGTGTGTGGCTCCCCGTAACCCTCCACTGTCAGAGAAATTTGGAGCTCTAGCTTCATCAAATTTTACAGATGAGGATGCAAGTGGATGAAGAAATGAGGTGTGACATACCCAGCATCAAACGAGTAGCATATATAGAACTGAGTGTGGAATCAATTCAATCTAACTCATTTTGACTACAGCCTAGCCCCTCACACACACCCTTTTTTTTTAGGCTTGGATACTAGGTTGAGCAACAGAATGCCTGTTACGGTTAAAAATGACTACAATGTGGTCCTTGCCTTCAAAGAGTTAAAGTGTCCCTATTAATTTAAGAGCAGTGTAAGAGTGTATAATCAAGCCCTGGAATGTGTAGACAGGGAGGAGCATTGAGTGGGAGGGAAGAATCCATAGAACGAAGCATCCTTTTTATTTTTGCATTTGGACATGGTGGGTGGTTTTGGTAACAGATTCTGTTAGAGTTTAAGGATTCCATTCTTTCACAGTCCGGGAAATGTTTGCAGTATACATCCGCAAGGCACATGTTGCCTATTTAACTTGCTCTTAAAATTTTAAAAATGTATTTTTATATGCAGTGTATGGCAAAAATACTGTGATTCAGTTTGAGCAGTGTCTTGTAGCCTACTAGTGCCGCTTGCAACTGTGAGGGTACGTCGGAAAAGTCAAGGGAAAATGGAATTAAAAGTTTTGTGAATGTGGAGGATTGGATTGACATTGGCATTTAAGTGTGTTGCATAATGATGGGGAAGTGGGGGGGTTCACAGAGAAGTGAGGTTATTTCCAGTGATCATTTTTGACACACTTGCATACATGTGACTGTTCAGTTTGTACTGTCAGATAGGTGGTACGCTGTGCTTGGAAGTGGCTTATGGGATCCTGTGTACTTTTTTTCTGAGTGGTACAGAAACCACCTAAAAAAAAAGGTTGCAGAATTGACAACGTTAACCATTAATTCCTCTGAGGGAAAACATAATGTGCTTCTTGTATAATTGTAGGTTAGTAGTGTTCAACCAGTTGTGATCCAATTGGAATTCCTTCTTGCTAGCAGTTTTGGGTTCTCCTTCAGCCGAATTTACTTTTTACTAGTGAAAAAAGCCCCCCAAAGTGTAACTGATTTGCTAGGGACTGATTGAAAGAGAGGAACTGTTTTGGAAAGGGGAATAGATACCATTTTGACATAGCTTCTTATTACTGAAGTACAAGTATAACAAAACATTTGTCATCTCAACATTTTTACATGTCTAATTCAGTGACACGAACTCTGGTCATTTGTGTGGCCTTCATCATGATTCCATCGTTTCCCATCACCCTTAACAGAGATGTAATGACACTCCCCCACTCCTCACCCCTCTTTTCTGGATTGTTTTGAAAACTGGTTTTAGTTTATTCACTTTCTGGAACTAGTGGTGCTAGTTGATCCTTTAGACTAGTTTATTGGCTTTTTGTTTGTTTAATCAATTAATTTTTTTGTTTGTCTAATTTAAATGTAAGAAGGAAATATGAGATAAAAAATCATTATTGGACTTTGGGTCTAACTAAATAGGGCCCAAATCTAAGATATAATTAAAGCTCCCCAATATGATATAAGATGTGATTAAAGCAACCCCCCCCCATCACATTTCCCCTAGTTCCTACTAACTTAATAGGAAGTAAGAACTTTTTGTTCCTTTTTCAATATGGTATGTAAAATGGACTTCACTCCCTGCTCCTATTGATATGTTCCTGAATGATCTGCATTCAGCCATTATTTGGGGGAGGGGGTCTGTTATATCCATAGGCAGGTTACTTAAAAAAAAATCATCCTTAGGTCTATTTCAAGATGTGCCAGTAAAATGCATGTGGCTATAGTTTATGGATTTGTTTTTAATGAAATGGGTATTTATTGAACAGCTTGCACTTAAGGTGCTAGGTAGTAAAAAGATTAAGACTGGGGGTGGAAGATAAAAGCTTGAATAAATAAAGCAGGCAGATGCCTGATAAGATTACTGTATATACTCAAGTATAAGCTGACCCGAATATCAGCTGAGGCACCTAGTTTTACCACAAAAACTGCATAAAAATGTGCTGAAAAAACTTGGCTTATACAGGAATATATACGGTATATAAATAAATGAGTGTGTTTAAATTTCAGCCTACATGTTATAATGGAACCCATCTTACACACACATTCTCTCTCTCTCTCTCTCTCTCTCTATATATATATATATATATATATATAGTTTCATGAAAGTTTCCAGAAATAATACCTACCCATCTATATGTTTTACCACAGCTATTTAAAAATAATGCTTTCTCTTTTATTTCCAAAAAGTATTTCTGACTCATAAAATTGGTTTCATGATACAATGAAGGGTTGTGACATACAATTTGAAAACCATTTACCTATCTACTGGTGATTCAGTATGGTTAAAATGTAATACGAGATAAGTCTTGGCTGTTGGTTTGGTTGTTTTTGTTCAACCATTAGGTAGATAAATGCCGCCTTTCTCTTAATTTATGGAACTCGGTGGTATGGTGATGACCAGTTTGGCAGTTCGAAACCACCAGACACTCTGAGGGAGAAAGACTGGGCTTTCTACTCCTGGAAACAATTGTAGTCTCTCAAACCCACAGG